ATATATATATATATATATACACATATATATATATATGATACTTTAATACATTTTTATGAGTAAAGATGTATTTCATCAATTAAGAGAAAATGTCTTTTTGCTAACAATGTTTTGCCCCACATAAATAAAATAATACGGGAAAATTGCAGGATCACTAACAGCTATCATTATCATTATCTCCTTTTTTAATGAGGCTTTTTTTTCGTGCTTTATTAAGCCTGTCATTAGCTGCTTTAATGTTCCTCTTTTCCCTAAAGGAAGAGTCAACATGAACCTTTAGTAGGAAAATCTAATGGCCATCCTTCAATATTTTCAAGGCTGTTTTTTATAGCTGCAGTGAAAGAATGCTCAAGAAAAGATGGGAACTTTAAAAGATAACGCTAGAGTTGTCTGACACACACACACACGGGGTGGAGAGTGAGATTAACTTAATCTGGAAGTAAGGGTGTATTTGTGATCGTGGTGGGCTCGTGTAAATAATGGCACAGATTTCCACACAAAAAGAAAAGAAAAACCTGAGCCTGATCCTGATCCTGTATGTCAACAACAATCAGGACAGTCCTTTCTGCTGAAACAGACACGACGATGGACAAGACTGACAGCAACCACATGTGTCATTAAACTCAGCACCGGAGAGCCCAACAACACAGTACTGCAATGAAATACTGATGTTATTTGTTAAAAACACTCACAATTTAAGAGTAAAACCTAAATCTCAGCACAGCACACAACAAAGAGCAGCAAGCTTTGCAGCCGTGCTTGCCTACGATGGAAAAGATTCATGCGTGGATGCTGTGCATAACTTGAAAAATGTTTTGGGGGTTTGGGGTTGTTTTTGTTGTGTTTGTTTTTTAATGATCCACATTTGTTGAGGACGTGAAAAATCTCGTCGGATAACTGCAGCAGTGCAGCACCGGTTGATGGCTGCTGAATCAAAACACAGAGATGTAAACAGTGAACAGGTGGTCATTTGTTTAGCATGTAGAAACGCCAAAGCAAATTTAACGTGACACCTGCGGTTTGCCTGGAATTGCCGCAGATTTGCCTTCAACATTCACAAGAACTTAACGCTGTTTTTGAGGGAAAGAAAGACGCGATTGCTTCGCAGTTTTCTGTCAGGCTAGCCTGCTCCATCCCCAGATGCTAAGTTAGCTATAGCCCCAAAAGCAATCATCTCTCACCACTTCACACGGTGCTCCCACACTCCGCTCGCATAATACTGCTAAGCTCCACGGTCAAGATGAACGGTGACGAGCCCCGAAAGGAGAGACAAGGGCTTAGGAAAAACGGCCACTAAATCGCCGTTCTGCTCTTCCAAAACAGTAGCAGCTCTGGTAGTACCTCTGCTGCTGCTGCTGTTGCTCTTGAGGACAGCACTTCCGCACCGAGAGGGCAGCGAGAAGGAAGCCGACGAGGGCGATTCGTAATTCGCCATCAATGAAAATCCTGTTCCCAGGATTTTGGGGATAGAGAAGAACCAAACACTGGATTGATTTTTTTTTCAATGATAGGTAAATGAAGCTTTGAAAACTGACTTAGAAAACACAGGGTCTAAATATTAAGCTATCTAATGCATACAAATGTGGAATTATAATAGAGTATGGGAATCATTTTGTATCGTGTTTAGATTGTGGAGGTATCGCCACAAGATCATTTAAATTAAAAACAAACTTTTAATTTATTAACCATAGGAAAACTGGACAACCGCCCCAAAATAATCTACTGACAGTGGTTGCTACAGAAAACACTACCTACCTTATAAATTTCTAGTCTTAACACCTTTATTCTTGCAGTTACTTTATTTACTGGTCTTCCTCTTCCCTGACAGCTACACATTTAGCACCTTTTGTCCAGTATATCCACTACCGCTCCTCTTCAAATGTCCAAACCACCTCAGCCTTGCCTCTCTAAATCATTAAGCACTGGATATGAGCAGGTGCACTAATTTCTAATCCTGTCCATTCTAGTCACTCCCAACAAATAATCAGATTTTATTCGTGAACATAATAGTTGATATTGTGTCTACACACGCTGTATATTATGCGAATTTAAAATAATGAATCCAACATAAAACAAGCATAAAATATACACATACTGCCAAAATAAATCAAAGTTAATCAGAATGAACTCATTGTTTGTATCTTAAACGTTTCATGCATTAAACACTTCAAGTCTAGACCACCAAGCAGTATTAGACTAAAGTATGAAATGTAAAACTTAAAAGTCACAAATAGGATAAAATGTATAGTTGTATGTAACTTAACTGGGTTTTCTGCAGTAACTACAGTACATTGCAGCCAACTTGGTCTTGCGAGGAGCTAAAAAAAACACTTTGGGGAGAGAGAATCAGGGCAAAAAATTATAATTTATAAACATAACACAAGATGAGAGACTGTTAACGACAATATACATAGCACATGTAATTTTCTACAGTACTACCGAACTGTACAGTACGTCTACTCTATATATGTTTAATATACACAGAGAGATATATAATAATCTGGATGTAAAGTTCAAACTGTATTTCATTGTAAATTCCCATGGCAATGTTCTTCTTCTTCTTCTTAAATGTTATTGGCGGTTGGCAAACAACTGATTGGTGCATTACCGCCACCACTAGTATGGAGTGTGGACTGAAATGACGCCCCCACCCCCACCCCCAAAACAAACAAACAATCAAACAAACAAAAAACCTCAAAGCCTTTGAAACACTCTTCCCGCTTTAAAAAACCGAAATAAAGCCTGTTAACTCCTACTTCCAGAATCCTTTTGCAATAGGTCAACCAGATCCAGTTTCATATTCATATTAATGAGGTTTTGGTTTAATTGTCTCCTCTCCACCTGATATTTCAGACAGTGCAATATCACATGCTCTATAGTTTCTGTTTCTCCACAGAAGGCACATTTCCCAATGTTTCCCAATCAAGAATAATGTAGCATTTAACCCAGTATGTCCAAATCTCAATCTCTATGACCATCTCCTCTCTCCTGCTCCTTCCAGTGGTTCTCATTTCTCCTACCCCCCTTTGTATTGTATACAACCATCGTCCTCTCCTTTCCTCCTCCCACTGCTTTTGCCAACTACTCCTCATTTCTTGCCTTATGATACTCTTCACTTCAGCTTGACCAAAACTAACAGCCATGTCAACTGTCCCATGTCTTGTGGCTTCCTTCGCCGCTCTGTCTGCCATTTCATTCCCCATTATTCCATAATGGGCTGGAATCCATAGAAACACAACTGTACGACCCATCATGTTTATTCTGAAAAGTGTTTGCGGAATTTCTGCTAGAGTATCTGCTCTCGCATCTGAGTGACTACACTGTAAACAATAGCTTTTAATGGCCTCATATCCATGGCAATGTTGTTCACTGAGCTGAAATAGGCTATATATAAATAAATGTTGCCTAACTGTTATTGTGAAGTCACAGCGCGCGCGCACTGACGCACTGACGCACCGGTCAGTTTCTGTTTTCTATTGCCTTATTTATACAACTAAATCCGGAGATTAAGATAATATTAACCAATGAATATGTGTTCGCCGTCTCTCTTCGTTCTCCTAGAGAGAGAGAGAGAGAGAGAGAGAGAGAGAGAGAGAGAGAGAGAGAGCGCATATGGGCGTGAATTTTCCAGGCACCAGCTCCTCCAGGCTGAATTGCAACTCCCAAAATAGCAGCACTGCGAATTCTGGATCCTCTGAGAAAAAAAAATGGCTGAAGTAGTTTCACCAATAACTCGACAAGTAACTAAAGGAAGCCAGGAAAATGTGACCTGTTTTGTGGATATTAATCTCAGAGACGTCGAAGACTGTTTAATTTACGACCGGCATGGAGTTTCTATTCCGTTCAAGACCCTATACCAAGACAGGAAATCGGTCATAATTTTTGTGCGGGTAGGGAAAACTTCATTTGGCTTAACTTTGCTGATGAGTTATGGGTTCGCATAGGCACCCTACCTTAAGTTGCGTTTTTAACTGGGTCTTGATAGGCTTCAAAGTAGGTGAGCCTAAGTGTAGCTGGCCAGATGCTCCAAGAATTTCCTGTGGTGTGTTGGAAATGGACGAATGAAGAGATCGTTCTTCATAGGTGAAGACAGAGGGATAAATGTTATGGCGCAAGAAGTGAATTTTTAAATGCAGTGATCTCTCTCATCACTACAGACTTTTAACATGTTATGTAATATGTGTCCCTGCAGAATTTCTTGTGCTACAGCTGTAAAGAGTATGTTGATGATTTGGGAAAAATACCCAGAGAAGTACTGGAGGTAAGTTCTGTTTAGTAAGGACCATTGCACTAGAGGCTGTCAAAACAAAGAGCACAGCTGCAACACTGGCAACAAAGGTGCTCAGTTGTAGCAATAGGAGGTCTGATGAGTATTAACATAAATAATTGATCATGACAAATCCAAAATTCCATGTGTGTTGTTGCAGGATGCTGAAATTAGACTGGTCGTGATAGGTCAGTCCGCTTATCATCACATAAAGGTAATTATTTTGTTATATATACACCCACTGGACACTTGTTCAGCTGCTTGTTAAAGCAAATATCTGATCAGCCAACCACATGGCAGCAACTCAGTGCATTTATGCATGCAGACATGGTCAAAACAACTCGCTGAAGTTTTGAAGAAAGGTGATTTAATTGAGTCTGGTTTTGACATGTGGCCGCTCTATTGGAATTCTGCCACAGTGCCATCTCTAAGGTTTACAGAGAATGGTCGAGGAAAAAAAAGGGGAAAATATCCAGTGAGCACCAGTTGTCTGTGTGAAAAGTAAGAGGAGAATGTCCAGACTGCTTCGAGCTGATAAGAAGGCACGAGTAACTGAAATAACCACTTGTTACAACCAAAATATGCAAAAGACCACACCTAGAGCCACTCCTGTCAGCTAAGTACAGGAAACTGAGGCTGCAGCTTGCACAGGCTCAACAAAATCGGGCAATAGAGGTTTGAAAAAAAGCATTCTGGTCTCATGAGTCTCCAATTCTACTTCTACATTCAGATGATAGGATCTGAAGTAAAAAAAAGAATGAAAGTGTGGATTGATTCTGAACTGTTCAGGCTGCTGCTGGTATAATGGTGGAGGGCATATTTTCTTGGTACACCTTGGGCCACTTGGAACCAATTGAGTGTGATTTTAAACTCCGCAGCCTTCCTGAGTATTGATCTTGACCACGTCCATCCCTTTCTGACTACAGTATTCGCGGTATTCGCATCTTCTGATGGCTATTTCCAGCAGGATTACACATCAAAAAGCTCAGATAATCAAAACTAGTTCAAGGAACAAGAGAAAGAATTCACTATTCACTATATAAGAATTTCCACTACTGCAATCCAGTAGAACCTCTTTGGCATGATGGATGTGCAGCCATCAAAGCTGCACCAACTGTGTGATGCTATCAATTCAATATGAACCAAAATCTCTGTTGAATGTATGCCACAAAGAATTAAGGTCTAACTTTTGCAAGGTGTACCTATTACAGTGTCTGATGAGTGTATATAAATATCACAGCAGGCACTATAGTTTTCCAGACAAATGTACTCTTTCTTCTTGTTCTGTCATGTAGTCGTTCTGCTTGCTCACGGAGTATCCTTATGAAATATATGTGGACCCAGAGAGGCGCATTTACCAAAAGCTGGGGATGAAGAGAGAGGAGACATTCACAGACTCTGGTATGCAAAAACACTGTTGGAGTGTATAAGTAAGCTTATTTTGAGATGATAATGAAACTTTGTCTTTGTATCTGTGTTTGTGAACTCAGCACAGCCTAGTCCCCATGTGAAGTCTGGCGTTTTTATGGGCCAAATCAAGACTATATGGAGAGCCATGACTAGTCCTGCCTTTGATTTTCAGGGTGACCTACATCAACAAGGTGGAGCCATCATTGCAGGACCTGGTAAGTTGGTCTCTCTCTATATATAATGTCATGTGTTAATGTTGCCACTGCATTATATCTTATATATTTTTTCTTCACACTCACTGTTTTCTCCCTCTCTACAGGCTCCAAAGTCCATTTTTCCCATCTTGACATGAACCGCCTGGACCACATGCCCATCAACTGGCTCCTTCAGCTTGCAGGAGCTCAGAAAACGATTGACTTCAGCGATAAGCCGAAAATCATTCACATCTAGTTAGGTGCCTGCCTGAAAGTTTCATCCCACGTCACTGCTGTAATCACACATGGAGTGTATATACAATCAGCTTCAAACTCTAAGACGACTAAATGAGTTTCTGTTGCTTCTGTTGTGCATTTGAACTCAACTTGATTGACAAATAGTACATTACAATGACTTTATCAGCTTAACACACACCTCTCTCCTCTTCCCTCAACTGTCTTGGCTTTAATAACATCACTCAAACTGAAAGTGCATGCGGCAAGTTTGTGCAAAAACCGATAAGGCATGTTTTCCTGGCATGATCTGAAAGTGTTCCAAATATCTTCTTGAGAAATCAGTGAATGCTTGGCCTTTGCAGTGTCCCCTTTAAATGTTTAGCAGGGCTGAGGTCCAATGACTGTGGAGGAAAAAGTCAATGTCAGCCAACACTCTTTTTTTTTGTAGTCTTATATAGTTTTCAAGAAGTTCTTGAAAAACTTTGACAAATAAGACAACACGTCTAATTTGTCATTCTCTTTGTCCAACTCTATAGACAACCCTCCCAGAACTGAATATTTATGTTCTGTTTGTCTTCTTAAATACACCATTATGTTACAGACAGAAATCTCTAACTTGGATTCATCATTACATTGATTTTTTCCCCCAGTGGTCTACTGTTAAGTTGAGGATAGACAAATTGCAGCAAGAAGAGTTTTATCCGTAACAGTCCCAGCATTCCCAAGTATGTTATTTATTTCAAGGCTAGACACTGACTTGACCAAATTACCAAAAACCTGGGAGAGGTTAGAATCACTGGCCTTGCAAATAGTACAGTTTCATTAAAAAAATGCACTACTGGCATTGTCCGGTGTCTCCAATCACATGTCAAGAGCTGATGATGGTTGTTCTTGATGCAGGAGGATTTTCTCTGTTTTCAGTCTGTGGTCTGAAACAGCAGTAAACCCTTATATTCCAGTGTGTTTTGTGGTATAATTATGTGCCTGTTTTGTAGTGATAAGACTGAATAGCAGCTGTTGCACTGATTTTACTACCTTGTCACATTCCCATTGCAATCTGCAAAGTTTATTATATTGTAAATAAAGACATTTTTTTTGTTATTTATTGGCTGCCATATATGCTCTACAGTGCAAGGCCAGAGCACGGTTGCATTCAAATAGGAAAAACTCTGGCATCAAGGACTACATTTCCAATATGTTTTCTATTGGTACAGCACCAGCTGCTGCAGCTGAACGGTGAAGGGTGGGTGGGCAGTGGACATCTAATCCCGATACGTCACTTGCAGGGGATTCAGAAAGCAGAAACCTGCCCCTGTTCACAGACGTCACCACCAGAGAGGTTGGAACGGGTAACTGGAAGCACGCAGACACAGGCAGACCATCGGGGGCGAGACATGACATATTAGCGCGTCGACAACACGAGGACAAGCCGCCGCACTGTGAAGCGCAGGGGTGTCTGTCGCTGCTGCACGGGAATGTCCAGCAGCCCTGAGGAGAAAAAATGAAGCGCAAGAGCGAAAGGAGGCGAGCCGAGTCGAGGAAAAAGCGCTGTGCAGCTCACAGCAGCTCAGAGGCGGAGCCAAACTCTGATATTTACATTGAGATAACAGGTAAGGGGGTCTGCAGAATGCACCCGGTCAACTTTGCGCACAGTTGGCAAATGCACGAAAGCGCGCACTGCAGGCGAAACCCCCCCCCCAAAAAATGTCGTGCACTGACCATTGTGTGTGAACGTCTTTGATTTTTTCCCTGCTTTTGTCCTCTCATGGCGACACCGTCTGTCCCTTTAATGTTATTACAGCGGGTTTTGCCTCGATTTACCTTAGCTCCGTGCACATGAAACCTCCAACAATGAGCAGTTTTACTCGGGTATTTAATTTCAGAGCAGGGAATTGCGGCAGAGCTGCACCTTTTTGTTTTATGAAGTCGGTGTGAGGTGCGAGTGCATACTTAGAGGTGGTTTGCTGTATCAATGTCATAAATATCACAGTCAACCCACTGTCAGTTCCATTTATGTTTTATTTTCATATCTTTATGGCGTTTCCTGGTTCCCACATCCTCGGTGAGCTGAAAGAGGGGAGGTTCGTCGAAGTAGAAATCACAAATCTGACTGGCTAAGAGATCGTCCTAGCAACCGCTTGGGCAACGATCCCAGGGCCTATCATGTGTCTAATATCAAGAACTTTAAACTGAACTAGGCGGGGCAGAGCCTGACGTACGCGTTTGTCTACCAATCACGTAGTCCTCTGCATCTCTTGCAGCCAATAGCGTCCCGAGAACCGCCTCAGGGGAGGGGTCGCGCAGAGCTCATTTTTAGCAGAGTACGCACTTAGACACGAAACTCTCCGTCCTTCCCTCTTCGGCAAGTGACTTTCTCCACTTTAAAAGACTAAAGAAACCTTCCTTATCCCTTTTAAATTTACATTTTGCCACTTTAAACTTAATTATTCGCATTTTATTTTTTTTTACCTAGCATGCGAAAGTCTCAGTGAAGAAAGTCACCCCGTGTGTTTCTGTATAAAAACGTCATGTTCAAAACAGTTTGCAAGATGACCGCGGACGATGTTTCGTCAGTGTGCATTGAGTTCATCAAAGGTAAGTCGCGAGAAAAAATACTTTTAAGAAGTATTAGACGAAGAGAGTTTTTTTTTTTTAAAATAATCAGCAGCATGCATGTGTTTACATGACAAAAAACAAGTAACTGCCTTTATTTTAATGTTGTCCCCTCCCTCTTCCCCTGTCGTGTTCCTCCAGATCAACTGTATTTTGCCATACTTCAGCAAAAGATCAAGAGCACAGCTGAAAGACACTGTTTCTGCATCGATGAAGAACTGGCATATGAGAAGTGAGTAGTCATACTCACCACTTACTTGGATTACTAGTTTCCATATCGTGTGTGTCCCCTTGCCCTTTCTTTCTTTCTTTCTCTCCTTTTGGTCTGAGTGCCATAAAATAGGCACACCTCATGTTATCAAATGCTGATCTTTAACAGTAGGGTTTGTGTGAGTAGATGTGTACATAACTTGCCCCTTACTGTGATGTTACGCAATGTCATGGTGCATTGCAAAAGATATTCAACTTCAAAGCCAGTGGAAGAGGTTCCACTACTTGCTACCTTAGCAACATCAGGGCTTTTAAAGGATGGCTCACTAGGACAGGATGGGACAGGACTGACCTTTTAAAGTTTATGCTAGTGTTACAAAAAGACCTGGTGTTTGCAGCTTTTTGTCCTGTTCTGATTGACCCATGATGTTTCTAAATATAGCCTTTACTCTGTCAGTGTTTTTACAGTGTGAATCTTGGGTAGCCGATTCTGTCTAGTGAAACTTCCCTAGAGATGATAGCTGGCTGCATAAATAGCCACTGACACACTCTTTGTTCTCTGCTTTCTCTCTCTCCCTCTCTTAGCTTCTATGCGGACTTTGGTCCCCTTAACCTGGCCATGTTTTATCGCTTCTGCTGCAAGCTGACAAAGAAGCTCAAGGTAAAGTAAACTGATGCTCTTAATTTGCAGTTCCTGTAAAGGGGGGGGGGTTCAATCAATAGCTTTTTATACCTACAGTAGGTAAACAAAGTAAAGTAGTGTTTGGGCTTTTATGTAATACAGTCAGCTGTCTTATTGTTTAATCTATGTACCTAATAGTGCAAACATGTTTGCGTTATTGCTTTGTGCTGAGACAGTTTACGTGTATTTGCATGTGAGCTTGAAAAGATGCTGATCACAGACTGGGGCAGCTGAGCTCCTGTGCATGATTGATTTATTGATGGTTGTCCAGCCTTTTCAATTTAAGATATCTTTGCTTGTTGATCCTTGGTAGACCTAATGAATAACTTTTCAGTTATACAGGTAATCATTTTTTTTGTCACTCAAATAAATAAAGAATCACCTGTAATTTCATGTTGTTAATGTATTTGTGCAGTCCATTACACTCTCAAGGAAGAAGATCATATTTTATACATGTGGAGATCAGAAGAAGCAAGCCAATGCTGCCTATCTAATAGGCTCATATGCAGTAAGTTGTTTGCAAACATGTGTATTACAAATAACTTATGGACTTGTGCTGTGCCTAATGTAACAAAAATTATATTAGCATGTAATACATATGGCATTTGCTGATTGCACATTTGTATTTATAGGTAATGCATCTAAATATGTTGCCAGAGGAGGCCTACAGTCTGCTGGTGTCAAGAAATTCATCATATATTCCATTCAGGTAACAGTTTGCCAACACAATTTTTACTCAGACTAATTTAATAATAACAGTTTTAACTGCCATTCGCATTTTAATTTGATTTTCAAGTGTCTCTGACTGAAAGTATAAGTTTCTGGTTTCATTTCTGGTTTCAGCCTCTCTTCATTAATCAAGGAGACTGTTAAGTGATAAGAGGAGCTGGGTGGGAGGGTTAAACTATACTGATTAAAGGAAAATGATAATAGATTAATTGCTATTCTAGTTATTGTTTTTTCTTAAAGGGGACCTATTAAGCTAAATTTCCAGTTCCAGGTTTCTCTTACTGGACTTTACTAGAGTTTCTCTGCACCATTCACAAATTAAAATAACACTTAGTTATAAATAGCGGACATTGGTGCAAGCTTGTAAAAAAATGTAGCTCATTTTAGCTCCGCCTTTGAGCTAAATTTCTTCTGATTGGCTTACCTCAAAAGCATGTTATCATATCATTATAACTCTCCAAAAAGAAGTAAAACATATTGGAAACCAAGGTTATAGAGCAGTCAGAAGCTTAAATTCACATAGGTTTCCTGCAGACATTGTTTAATATAAGCATCCACCATTGTAACAACATGTGTTTAACAGAAAATTTGAAATCATAATAGGTCCACTTTAACATACCTCAATGAAATTGCACAGCAAATTAAATATTGGAGCACTGTTTAGCCCCGACTACAACACAAGATTAAAGCACAATGCTACTGTGGCTCATCAGAATTATGACAGGGACCTTTAAGAGGAGGGGTCACACATGCTTTTTGAGAGAGAAAGAGTTCAGAATAAGAAGAAGTGATATCATATTCAGTGTTTAAATGAATATGAAATCCCATGTATGTTGTGCAGAACCTTAAATATGTTTTATATTTTACAGAGATGCTTCATTTGGAACCTGCATGTACAATCTGAACATCCTAGACTGTCTTCGTGGTGTGCACAAAGTATGTCATTTAAAGAATGAATTCCTTTTCTTTGTTGTATTAACACACCCTAACAAAATGACTTTCAATTCAACGCTCCGCTAGGCTTTGCATTATGGCTGGCTCGACTTCTCTAACTTTGATGTGGAAGAATATGAGCACTATGAGAGAGCAGAAAATGGAGACTTGAATTGGATCATTCCAGGAAAGTTCCTTGCATTCAGTGGGCCGCATCCAAAAAGCAAAATAGAGAATGGTAATTAAAGTACATTACAGGACTATGTCTCACCACATTTTAACACATCCTGAACTCACAAGAATGTTTTCCTTTCTTATTTTAGGGTACCCTTTGCACGCTCCTGAGGCCTACATCCCATACTTCAGGAAGCACAACATCACTACCATCATCAGACTCAACAAGAAGATGTATGATGCCCGACGTTTTACAGACTCTGGGTTTGAACATCAGGACCTCTTCTTTGTGGATGGAAGCACACCGAATGATTCTATTGTTAGGACGTTTCTCAACATCTGTGAGAACGCTGAAGGAGCCATTGCAGTCCACTGTAAAGGTAGGTTTTTTTTGGTGCAAGACGTACTTGTAGCTACATAAACCTTGCTCGGTTTCCTGTTTACGGCACAATTTCAATGCACACTACTTTTCTTTTGTTTTAGCTGGGCTAGGAAGGACTGGTACTCTGATTGCCTGCTATATGATGAAACATTACCGCCTAACTGCAGCAGAGGCCATCGCTTGGATACGGATCTGCCGACCAGGGTCCATCATTGGACCTCAGCAGAACTTTGTTGAAGAGTAAGTGTTCACTAGAGCAGGACTTTCAAAATGTCACATTTTAAAAAATCTTTAAATACTTTCAAAGTATTTTGTATTGATACATATCTGAGATTAAACTAGATAAATTAACCACAGTTTAAGTTTTATAGCTGTGGTTTGAAACAACACTGTTTCAGGCAACAAATTATTAGATGATGAAAAATCTTAAAGTCATGTGATTTTTGGTTTGGCAAGAAAATCATTGTGTGGTTTGTGTATCAGGAAGCAGAACAGTCTGTGGGCAGAAGGAGATGTTTTCCGCGAGAAGATGCTGAATGAACGTGAGAATGGTAAGATGGCTGTAACCAGGATCCTATCTGGAGTGGATGACATAACCATCAATGGGAGCAACAAGAACAGAGGATCCAAGAAAGAAGAGATGGAAATGGTGAGTTTGAAACTAAAGTCTTAAGTCTTTCATTCTAATAATTCATTCTGCTCATTGTTTTTCTCTTTTTTTGCAGTACAATGATGAAGAGGAGAGAAATGGCCTAACACAGGGTGATAAATTGCGAGCTCTTAAGAGCAAGAGGCAGGCCAGATCATCTTCGGGTTCACTATCGTAAGTATTCAGGCAGCCTGCAAGCCTCATCATGCATCACACCATTGTGCTGTAGTACAGTAAAATGAGCGAATCAGTCCCTTGGATCATTACATGTATACAGTAGTAGTGTTTTTCAAAGCATAAAAAAGATGACCAGGAAGTGATCATGTAGGATTTCTTTGGTTACATTTATCATTTCGTTGGGTAAGCTTTCTGTCTTCCTCAGTAACTTCTTCCAGGTAGTCCGCTTTGGGAGTCGGGTTTGAGGATTTGGCAGGGCTGCCCTCATTTAACCATGCCATACAATTTCATCCTAATACTGTACTTTAAACCATTTGGAATATCTGCATTATTTTAATAACCATGTTTCTTTTTTCAAATTTCATCTCATACGGATAGAGTATAATAAAGTCATCCTATTACCATGTGTAATCAGTGAGGATAAACAATAAGATGAGAAAGTGGTAGCCCAGATTCTTAGGCTCAAAGTGACACAGTTGTTTGCAGGGTTGGATTTTAGTTATGTGATATGCACTTTTCCAGGAAAAACTGTTTTGTGGGTTGAATTTAGAAAGGCATGAACAATGTGGAAGCTAAAGATGATAGCTCTATGAAAATCTTTTGCTAAAGTGCTGATGGTGTGTAAGCTGTGTTCTTTGGTCAGAAGCTTAAAAAAAGTTCAGTTTGGACAAAAGCATATGTAAGCCAAGTCAATATAAAGCTTATCTGTCACTAGGTTATCATGAAATCAGTGTAACTAGGTCACTCATTCAAGTCAACAGAAAGCTTTTCTATAGATAAACTTTGTAGCTGAGACAACAAATATTGATTAGCTTTTCTAATTCTTTGAAAAAAGAAGAAGGGAAAAAAAAAAAGAAACGATCAGCCGTATTTGGACAACTATGACGTGAGCTTCCCGCTCTATGCCAGTGGGGGGTGCTAAAGTGCAAAACCTAACCCTCTACTGAACAACAACGTCATTAAAAGATTATTAAAATTTCCTCTATTGTTGTTTTTCTGCCCAAGTCCACATCATTTGTGTCCATATAATTCAAAGCTGTGGAAGGTTGGTCAGTATGGCAGAGTATGGTTGACCGGCCTCTGCCAATGTACCCATATGGCTTTGGCTTTTGTTGTCCCATGTCAGGCAGGTGGTAGTGTTCTGCTGCAGCCTCATGGGCACGGTGTGGCCGATGTGTTGCCTGCCGTTCAAAAGATAGCAGAGAGAGGCAGAGAAAGAGTTGGGGAGAGGAAAAACAGAGAGAGGATGTGAGGTTTTGTACGTTGGAGGTAAGTGCACGTCAGTTCCTTTCTAGCCGACATCCTCTTCCTGTTTAAAAAAATATATATTGGTAAGCCAGCGAATGGTGTGACAGATTTGAAGTTGTCCTTTTTTTTTTTTTTTCTCTCTTCCTTTTCTTTTCTTTTGATGACTGGTGTGAAGAGGTTATGCACTTAGTGGATGCATTACATTTACACGCCTTTCATTATCTGCCTCATGGACACACCGAGCTGTTCTGCTTTGATATCAAGGCATATCTGTGGTATCCTCTGAGTCACAATAAAAGCTCTCAAGTTAACAGCACCAATTATTCAACCAATCACGGTTTTAAATAAGATCGGGATTAGTTGAATTCAATGTTTTATTGCTTGGCTTGCACGACTGACTTGGCTCACATCAAGATAAAGTCTGAATCAGGGAAGCTTTGACCTTGTTCTCATCTGCAGTACGTAATTCCTCATTGCTTGGTAAAGTAGTGAATTTGCCAGCTGATTCATTAATGTTTAGGTGTAAATTGGCAGTAGTTCTTTGGTACTGGACTAAGCTATGATTTCGAGTGTTTTGTGAGTTTAATTAGTGTCTTTAAATTCTGTTATTTGGATAGTAAAATCCTCCAGATCCTCGTTATCACATAAAGCATTAGAAAAACATTGTGGGCTAGGGGCTATGGGCTAGGTAGTTGCACGAAAACAGAGAGTTGAGGCTGAAGGGAGATTTTCTTGCACTACAGGCCATATGCTGCTGCAGGGAATGCATTGCTACACATCTAATGCTCCATTTCCAGCTGAGCATCACCATCTGGCTCCACTGTTTGGTTTATTATGCAACACCAATATGCATGTTAAACTCCAGGGACGATTAGAACGATGACTGTCAGAACTTCTTCACTTTTCTGCCTCTTCACGCATGGCAACAGGCATGAAACCCTTGGACATGCACGCATGCACATGCCTCTGTGTTTGTGTCTAACATGTACTTAATGCTGGGCTGGGATCATTGTCAGTTGCCTGTTGTTTTTCCATTGCTCTTGTGACTGGATCAGTGTATGCATACCATCTGAGCTTTGTTTACTCTTGCAGGAGTCCATCTCTGTTAGCTTCTATTAAAAGTGTGGGACAGAGTTTAGAAATGGGTGTTTAATTCTTGTAGGATCTGACTATTTTTAGATGTTTCTGTTAAACAGAGCCCATCTCCTTCATTGGCAGGCTTATATCAATCACTACAATTTCAGTACCAGGGATACTGTTATCTATTTAATGTCTGTAAATGCTGCCTGGGGTTCTTTTTTTTCTTCCTAGAATCGTGTTTTATTTTCAAGTACTTTTGAGGAGCTTACAATACAAAAAAACTCACTCCTATATTTATTATAAATATGTAGAACTTAAGTAAAATAAAGTTGTTGTTTTTTTCCTCAAGTAAGTTAACCTACTTTAAACTTCCTACATTAGTTGGGTTCTTTATGGCTGACTGCTTATACAACAGAGCAAGTGATGAACAAAAATATGCTGTTTGGCACTGTTGGATGAAAGGCTCTACAAAAGGTGATTCATCTAATCCAGTCCCAGTGGAAAAGCACAACATCAGAGGCTTTATGTCCTGCCCAGACGTCTCTTGTCTCTCCTTCCTTTTTTCCCCCTTTTTTTCCATTTGCTCTTGTTGTTGGATTTGTCCTCCTTTCAGATGGCTGGTAGCCATGCTGCTCTCCTCCCTGTGTAGCCTTGCCCTGTGGTGGATTGTGTATGGCTTCCCTTCTTCCATCCTGCATTTCTGTATAGACGGGTTAGGATTTCAATGAGTTCTACTGCCCGTCAGCCCCCCCAAAACCTGCCCTGCCCCTCCTTCTGGAGCTCTAACTGAGAATGCTGTAAGTGAGCCCCCAGTCTCTTTTTAATTCCCAACCCGAATCAGAAATTTGTTCAAAATCATCTTACTGTTCCTATATTCTTTCTGCAAATACTGTAAAGTCAAAGCTAATGAGCAGAGCCAGTTTTTAAAAATCTAAAACATCAAAGGCTACTGCCTTGACCTTGTCAGCATTTTTTGTACATGATGATTTGTACCATAAACATTCCCATCACCCCGTCACCTTTACACATCATGCTTTGCTGGTTATTGTGTTGACTTATTCCCAACTGTTAAATTGGCAGACAATTAAGAGCTGCTGATGGAAATGACTAAGACAGATCAAGACTCTCTTTAAGTTTTAGTGCCACCTCCTCGCTTTAACTTAGCTCTACTAATCCTACCTGGCTGCTGAATGCAATAATATTCTGTTCACACGGCTAAAACTGTCACATTAAAAACAAAACATTTTTTCTCATTACCATGCAAACCTTTCCCCTGCTATCCACTCTGAAGTGTAGTTCATTACATATACATATGAAGTTTCACATTTTTTACTGCTATGTTACTTTGTCTTCACAGACAAGAGGAGAATAAGATGCACACCAGATCCTCATCACAGTCCCTGAGGTAAAGTGTACAATGTACACACAAAATGCACACCTACATACACATACTGACATAAAGCAGGGCTTAGACTAATGAATATGTCTCCTCTGCAGCGGAGTCATCTTGCAGGCAAGTTTTCAGAGCTGTAAGACAAGTGTTAGCCCATTGGCTCTATCTGACCAGTCAGACAGCAGGAAAAGGACCAGAACCTCCCTTCCAGCCAATGGAACAGGAGGAAGGTCAGTGGAAGAATTTAAATAACACTTATTTGCCCGAACTGACTTTCCCAGATAGACTTTACATACGTTATACAGTTAAAATTATCCACAAAGGTCAACAATGTTTCAGTTTGGATCATAGACTAGACAGAAAACATTGCTGCAGCTGCAATTTGACTTCACCCATAATCTGCAGATAGGACATCATGTATATTCAATATGAAAGTGTTTACCTAGTTGCCCCCTGCTGGCCATTATAAATAATGCGTGTTTAAAGCAGTCTGTAGGTTGTATTTTTAACTTCAGTCATTACATGTGAAATTGTACTGTTGTAATAAAAATACATGCTTTGTATTTTAATTCCTCTTTGTACCACTGAAACTGAAAAAAACAAAAATAGAGAGGCTATAGCCACTCATGAGTGCTTGCTGAGTACATTAACAGCTTCCCTTTTCTCTACCAGCTCCCTGTGCAACACCAGACTGGTCAGGTCCCTAGGCAACTTGCATGTCGTGGCTGGTGGCAAAGACCCAATGTGTTGTGAACCATGTGACAGCCATAGACAGACAGCCAGTGTCACAACCAACTTAGGCTCTCCCATCAGCTTAAGCATGGGACAGGTCCATCTACAGGCAAGCTTCCTTAGATCTTCACAAGCCAAGTGGAGATTTGGACTGCATTTGCACAGGAGCCAAAAATTGCAATATGCAAAAAGAGATATGATCTTTAGTGCCTGTGCAAATTCAGCAAAAATTCCAGAGGCTTGGAATACGTCGTTTCACTTCAGTTTTCAAAAAAAGGGGTTGTGCCATAATCACATGACGTTCCTAGGCTGGGCTGCATCGCCTACTGAAACAAAACCTGTGGTTCATTCAAAAAATGTTTCTTAAAAAAAACCAACTGTTTCCACCAACAACAGTTAAGATCTTACAGTTTAGGTAAAAGTGGAAGCATTTGAATGCATTTTTTTAAATGAAGGAATGGATTAATTATAAACAGGTGAATACTTTCATTGAATTTAATTATTCAGTTAATTTAAGCATTAAGTAAAACAAAATGGTACTGCAGATCCTTTCAGTGTAGAGAAATTTGCATTTTTTTTTCATCATGACAGAAGGCTAATGAGGTTTACATAGAGAAACTAAATACTATTAATAAATATTGTTTTATGAATTTGATGAAGGTGCAACCCAGCTCAGATTCTTTACTCAGATGAACTAACCTTTATATATAACTGGATATTGTCCAGGTCTAACGTGTAGTAAATCTGATGGTGCATATGTACCACTATCAGGATGCCAAATTAAATTCCACTTGGCACAATCCCCCTGCTGCTTCATGCAAACATTTTCCCTGCATGTTCTCTGAGAACAGTTTGTTTGGGAGTATGGCTGGCTATAGCTTCTCTAGACTTTGTGCGCCTCACTTCACTCTGCCTTTGGCCTGTTGTTACCACTCTGTAGCCATGTGTGCATTCTTTTCTTGAGCCAGTCTTTAATGTTCACCTCCCTTCTTTTCCTCCTTTTACGTTTCATATATGCAACAGACGTACCGTCTCCAGAGGATGTAAAGCTCGCAGCTCTTTGCAATCCATTAGGTTTTCCAGGCTATGGTATCTACCGCTTCACTTTTCTGTCTTGCATTTACTCTAGTATTGTAATGATTTAACCTTAAATAACTCTATTTTCCCCCCCTTCTTCTTTGTAGTCACTCCATACCCAAACCTAGAGCTCCTCTACTGCGGTGAGCCTGTGGATCTGGAAAATCTGATACATTACCTTCTATACAGCTGACGTGGGGGGAAGAGATGTTACAGAAACACCACAAATACTTCATTCAAAATTTTATGATTACAAGCCATTTTATCCATAGGACTCTTTTTAAAAAATATTTTTTAAACATAGAATCATGAACTGAACTGCTAGTTTTAATCATTGCCTGGTTGTTTCTACTTAACTGAAGCATGCAGTAGCAGCATCAGATCGAATCATTGTATGAATGTGTGGATCCAGGAGATTTCCTCCAAAATGAGCACTGTGCAGAACTTATTCTGATAAGGGTTCATGGTGGGAAGTATTTGATAGAATTGGCCTTTAATTTGTCCCGAGTCCCTGATCTTGGGCTTTGCATTGTGTGTTTGCCATGGACATAGTTAAAAGTCTATTGGCAGTAATTCCATCACAAAATGGTAAATGGCCTGTATTTGTATAGCGCTTTTCTAGTCCCTAAGGACCCCAAAGTGCTTTACACATTCAGTCATCCACCCATTCACACACTGGTGATGGCAAGCTACATTGTAGCCACAGCCACCCTGGGGCGCACTGACAGAGGCGAGGCTGCCGGACACTGGCGCCACCGGGCCCTCTGACCACCAGTAGTAGGCAACGGGTGAAGTGTCTTGCCCAAGGACACAACGACCGAGACTGTCCAAGCCGGGGCTCGAACTCTCAACCTTCCGATTACAAGGCGACATGTGCATTTGTACCTCTATTGAATATCTGAGTTGTCTTACTTGTGAAGCTTTTCAGCTCCTGTACTTAAACTGTAAATATGTCAACATTTGATATACTCTGTATTTTGTAAATATTTTGTACTGTTAGATCATCCTATAAATGAATGGGTGGTCCTAACGGGGCCTGGTCTAACTCACCTTCATAATCCATGGAAGACATTTGCTTGAAGCACATAGAATCATACTTTTTAATAAATGTATACCCAAGTATGTCTCTGGCTTAGTCCTTTCATTACATGTTTTAAGCACAATTATTATGGTTGTTCCCAGATCCTTTTTTTAAACCCCCAGACTGAGTGCCCCTTGCTAACAGTTGGAAAGAGAAGCAGGTAGGTGGAGATGCTGTGCTCAGCTGTAAGACCATATTAAGAATATCCTCCATTATACAAAAAGAAGGCTGGGTGTTTAGAGCAGTCTCATGCCTGACTCTTTGGCTCTACTTCCACAATACTGTCCCATGCGAAAGTTATTTGAAGACCTGTCAACCAGCCGACAAGAAAAATGAGTTTAAATCCTCAGTGATGCGTTCAAAACAAAAAGTTAACCTTGCAAAATAATTATTTATTGAACAGTGTATTCCGTGCAATTGAACCCAAAACCTCAAAAACAAAAAATGTGTCACATCAGGAGATAAGGTTTTACTCAGTTATCTCCCTGCTGATAGTGCTGGGAAGTCTTCTGGGTCATCTGGGTTAGGTGCCAGATCATCCTCCGCCTAATAGGGAAAAACCACGTCATTCATAAAACAATATGCTAACTGTGCTCTGGGCACACAAATACGAGTACCCCTCTTACCCTTCAGAAAGTAAATGAACCTCAAATGCACAATTGTCAATAAAAGCTATATGAAAGGTTGGAGCATTTCAGCGCTGTCCCAAATTCTGTACCCAAATACAGACATACCCTCTCCAATATCGGTTTGACACTCTCTGGGCGCCTGCTAGGACAACCACGTGCTTCTCTTCCTCGGCCACCACGAGTGGGACGTCCAAGGCTTCCGAAATTGATGTCCAAGAGGGAGGTGATATCATTCACAGACCTGCGAAGGAAGTTTCCTTCATCTTCCATATTTACCTTGATGGTCTAGAAATTGGAAGCAAACACTAAATATACAGAAGGCAAGAGTACTATTTGAACAGAAAACTAAACTATTTTTTATAGCATTTGCTTTTTTTTATCTTAGTAAAAACATCCATAGATATTTTGATTATTACTCAGTCTTTGATTATTCGGCAATAGATATTCTGTCTCGTTGAATTTATTAATGGCTTGCTTTGCTGCACAGTCAAGAAACTACCCGAATATGCACAGGCATGTCAACACATGTTACAGTTCATCTCAAATTAACCTCATTAGCAGCCAAGATGAACTAGCCCCTAAGGAGCCACAACTGAGGGTGCGTAAACTTACACAACTGCCGGTGGCCTATGTTGCAGTAATGTTGCATCACACACACGATTTTTAGTTACTCTGAGAAACTGCAGAAACTATTCATAAAAACAAAATGGGGGAAAAACAAAAAAAACAAAAACCAACCCATATAGCCTCCAGAGTTCATCTTCCACGCTCACCTCCACATGCTTTGACTCGTGGATGACCTTGGCTTTGGAGGGAATCTTGCCTTCTGCTTTGCGGATATTAAATTCTGCTTTGGGACGACTCATCTCCTGCATGGCCTTCCATTCATCCAGGGTCATCTCCATAGCAACCTGGACTAACATCTCTCCCTCCTCCTCCGTTGCTCTATTTTATCATTTGAAAACAAATAAATCATCTTCCATTTCTTTTTTTCCTATTCCCACTTCCTGCAAATGACAATTCTCATGTGCGACTGCCAAGTACAGACATCCCAAATTTCCCCATCAATTAAAGCTCGTCACAGAACATTTTATCTAGCACACTGTTGAATGTGTTTTTGTTTTTTTTAAATTGTAGATAATTGTAGATTTTCCTCTATTTTCATTGCACAGATGCTAAACAAGACCACTGTCACTTCTAAATAAGTCACGGTGGTACAGATGTAAATTTAAGAAAGGATATTTGTGCATTTCACTCACTGATTCGGATTGTCTTCCTCTACAGTTATCTGGGACTCCTCAGATTTGATTGGAGATGTCACATCCATGAATTCACTGTACAAAAACGGACATGAACAAACAGAACCTCTATTCTCTGCAAGAATTAAAATATTGTCATTTTCATGTTTATCAACTACCCACTTACCTTGCAGCTTCTTCAACAGAGCCCCAGTTCCAAGCTCCTCTTCCTCCTCTCTTATCATCAGGAGGTATACCTCTGCAATTAAGACAAAATGAACATCAGTACACAGTTACGAGACAGAGGAAAATCAGGGACAAGCGGCATTTTTACAAAGACTTACGTTCCATTGTGCCGATCGTATTCCCTCTTGCCCCTCAGAATAAAGTAGTCCGGGTTCCTTGCATTTCCTCCAGCTCTTCCTGCTCTCCTACCTTTGATCCCCCCTTTGCCTCTGAGATCAAAGTCTGAATTATAGGAAGGCCTGCCAAAAAAGAAGATTAAAACTCAGTTTATTCATGTGACAACATCCACATTTCAAACCCAGCTGACAGCAGTATCCTAGGAAAGCTTGTTTATGCCATGGGAGGGAGTGGGGTACGGGTTTATTGCAATCAGTAAGTCCAAATTTTGGGTTAGCATCTCAACTTAAAATGTAGTTGTTTTCTTAATTTAGAATTCTTTTCTCAGAAGTCTGAATTGGTAAGCTATAACCTGAAATTTCAATTTGGTTGGCAAACAAATGCTTTGTTCCCCCCCCCCCCATAGTTGCAGAAACAAGCTTCCATAGTATAATTAGACATTGTTGGGTGACATTAAATATTAGGAGAGCTTTTAATCAACAAAAGCTCCTGTAAGAGTGTATGAAATAATGTTTATATATGTAATCATATGCTGAAACACCAATCAACACTGGGTATGTCATCTTTTATATGACATCAGTTAAATAAAGATATTTTTATTAAGCATGGAATGCAAACCTAGAAACTGAAAACTCCTGTGTGGGTTCCTCTTGGTTGGCCCTACGCTGCCCAGCAGCAGCTTTCTTCTGGGCTTCTTCTCTGCCCTCCCCACTCTCAGACACAGGTGCAGGACGTGGCAGCTGCCTACGGACTGAAGGGAGAAAGCGAGATGGTAACGTACTGAACTGAGTCATAAGGTAGCAATCACTATTTGGGGAAAACTATGTTTCTGAATGCAATTCTCAGTATCAGACTTATGCTCTCAAACCTCACTGAGCTTACATTTACAGGAGGAAAAGAACAATTTAACATGCTTTCCTCTTTCCAATCCATTTTTTAGGTTCAGTCCAATAGCTGAATCTATGTACTTAAATGTCCTCTGGAATCATCTATAAAATTAGACAAGCGTCACTTTGACCCAGATTTCTGCACAGAGGATAGTGGGGATATAACCACCTCTGACAGCATGCACATGTGCACCTCGCTGACCACGCATTTTTACCAGCTGACAAAGCTCAGGCAAACTGGCCACTCTTGGCTGGACTACCCCGTCTGGAAACCCCAGCAGCTGCCAGAATCTTTTGGATTTGTGCAGTGTGTCGCAGTACTTACCTGGAACCGGCTCTTGAACATCCAGGGCCATAGGGAGGCGTCGGTCCCTTTGGGACTCCTTCTGACCAGGTTTTTTCTGCTTTGCTTTCTTCTCCTCCTCTTCCTTCTTCTTCTTTTTCTTCTTCGTCTTTTCTGATTCCACTTCGTTGATCAAGTCGAAAGGATCCGTGTCATCATCCAGAAGATTCCCGAACCTGTTCGCCACAGCACACCCGTAGGCGTCCGGCAGCATGTTAGCCTGTTAATGATGAATAAAAAAAACCCCAGTTTAAATAATTACCTCCTCGAGATGATCAAACAGCTTTCAAGTATCAGACAATAAAGATAAGCACCGTTTTCCAGCTCAGCTAGAACAAAAGAGCTGCGACGGTCGGAACTATGCTGCCCCAGTGAACATCCAACAAATGCCTCCAGCATATTTCGGCACACTTTTAAATAAATGTTTGCACGTGTGGATGCAAGCGACACCACGCCCACGTGTTCATCAACAGTCTGCATTGCAAAGGCTTGGCTCAGCTCCTCTGCCAGAGATGGTTCTGTGCTTAGTCAGGCTGGAGGCCTACGAGTCGGAACTGGCACAGGGGCTGAAGTTAAAGGGGCACTAACTCTCAAAAAGCATTCGAAAAGCAAAGATAAACATTTAAGACAAATTTACATATGGAAATATTATCCATTTTGTGAGCTTTCATTACAGTTCACTTTAATTAATGAAGCGCATTAACTTCAATAAACGTATAAAATGGTTTTAATCTACAGTTAGCTAACATTAACCGATAATGTTCGGTTAATTATGGACTGTAGCTTAGACCTAGTAACATTAGCATAAATGTCAGGTAAAGGTCCTACTTTTTTGGGGGGGTTGACACTAGTTAGGTAGCTTAGTTGTTGCTTACTTCCTTGTTAACGAGTTGACTCGCACAGCGACGTCTTGTTACTGTGCAAGCAAGTGTTTCCCTTTTCCTTTTGTTGTAGGCCTGTTTGTTATCTACCTGGCAGTGTCTGTTTCCCTCCAAGGCAGGTAGGCAGTATTGCCTGTCAGGTCTAACAGTAATTTGATTATTGTAGCCAAACCTCAGGAAGGCCTGGGGTGTACCAAAGTAGCTAACTTAATCAAAGCCAAACAGGAGCATCAATAAACATCCATACCGCAGCCCAACAACCAGGCTGAAGGTTGTGTAACCTCTGAAGAACAGTCGGGATTCTTAAACGATTTTTGTGAAAGCTTCAAATAACATTTACCGAAGTTTTTTTTGTTTTGTTTTTGTTTTTCGTTTTCAATCTACTTGATAGATATTTACTTAGAGAAGCCATACTTGTTTTTATTCTTTTATTTTTAGCTTCCTGGATACATAGCTTAGAAGTGTGCCACTAGTGTATGTATACTATTGTAAATGTTGCTTATTAGGCCTACCATTAGGTCAGTCATAAAACAGGGTTTTTTTGTAATTCAACTGACATTAGAAGAAATAATGTTAATCTTCACATTTTCTTGTATTTTTGCTACATAACTGTCAGCAATTGCCTCTGGCTCAAGTAGCTAGTAATGGCATTTGTTACATTAATATATAAGTTTTTGTAACTAGTAGCAAATGGTGGCCAATCCACAGCTTTACCAGAAAAAAAACTTTCCCAGGTTATATAGGGATCTACTCCTTGCAGAAACTCCTGTGACTGTTCCCTAAATGTTCCCTGACAGTTATCACAAAACTTCACAAAAAAGATTGGAGTTCTGGGTTCTTTGAAGTTGACTTTTAAAGATTGCTCACAATACAACCTTCAGAACAGACTTGGGGAACATTTGCATAGAGTTACAATGTTTATGAAAGGTTTCTCAAGTCTCCAAAGATTCAATCCATCTGTTTTCCTCCACTTATGCATTTCAGGGTTGCTGGGAGGCTGGAGCCTGTCACAGTGTCTTTTGCAGAGATAACACATAGACACAGTCGATTTAGAATCACACCATGCCTATCTTTGGACTGTAGGAGAAAGCCAGAGAACATGCAAACTACACATGGAAAGGCCCCAAACAGCATTCAAACTCAGGACCTTCTTGCAACAGTGTTAGCCACTGCACTGTGTGAAAACAGTGTGTTGCACGCAATGTTCTAGAAAAGTCCATTCGTCATACTTTTGCATAAACAAAATGTTAAGAAAGCATGCCTAGTCCATGCTGCACTAAGCTACACATGAGAATCTGAGCGATATCCCATTAAAGCACTGTCTCAATCATTTTTGGCATGCTCCTAGAAGCTGAAAATTTCACACTTCTACCTCACACTTTTCAGCAATCATTGGCAATAAAAAAGGAAATAAGTTAAATCTTATTCATACAGAAAAAAAGGTCAGTGTGGTAGCACCACATAAATTATATTTTATTTATCTATTTCTTATGTAGCTTTCCTTTGGTTATCCACCCTGTAGTGGCTCTATACCCCACCAGGGGGGGCCCTCCTAACAGTTTGCGAACCACGTGCATTAAACTCTCCATATTTGCATGCCCCATATGTTCGTAACTTTGCAAATCTATACAAAACCCTCAGCCTTAATGAAATGTCTATACTATTTACTTTTTTCAGACTGAACTTCATTTTACTTCTTGGTATATTTGAGGAACTGAAGCAACACATACTGAGACAATCATATGACATATGTATAATATGTATAATGCTCAGATCTCTTTAGTCCAGCTATTAAAATGTATAAAATTCCACCTACCCTCTTTTGCAAGATGAGTAAGTAATTTTATATAATGAAACCTCATTCAGTAGTCATAGCAGAATGAATATACAAGTCTGTGTTGTTAGTGTGCAATGTTTCAGTATTAATGTATAGCAGGAAATGTATGAAAGAGTGTAAATGTTATCAAGTCTAGTAGCAGTTTTTGTTTGAGTATTTGAAAGAAAGAAACTCACACAATATTTACTAAAACAGATGTGTGACACTCAAATACCGAAAGCTAATCATAAATCCGCATCAGTACATTTAAATTCAGTGTCTGTAGTGTGTATAGTCCGGGATGGCCTGGATGGTGTTCATCCAGCAGTAAATCTGCACTCCCTTTGGCATACTATACTATTTTTAAGACAGTGCCCTGGAGTGTATTTAAACTGTTTTTTACTAGGTAACTGAAACATGGGCGACAAACAGGATGACAGTGAAAGCAGCGCAGGGTCGTCTTCCAACAACTGCCAGGAACGGATGATTGACAGCACACTTTACTACATTTTACTGGAGAAATGAAATCATCTGAAGAACACAGTATCTAGAGATTTAGTAGGGTTTTGGGTTAAACAGATAAACCACTTTAGGTATATTGCATTAATATAATGAAATTTCAAATAACTCTAAGTTTCTGTTTCCATTTCTTGCACACAATAAAGCCTTTGTTCTATTACTTCCGCCCTACAGTGATTACGTAACTTTGGCGCCTCGGAAACACCGTTTTCTTTCCCTTTAAAACGACAAAAACATGTAATAACATAAACAGATTCTTCAGCGCGGGAAAAGAGCCATCTGCTCATCCGCAATGTAAAAAAAAAATTAACCGCCCTTCGCTCCCATTGGCTAACACGTGGGCCACAATCGCTTTCATTGGCTAGTCTTGATGTCAATCTGCGAGAGCGCGCATCAGGTGTTTAAATCTCATTGGACAAAAGCTTTTCGGCCAATTAGTGTGCACAGAGCCCTTCGCGTCTCCTACTGGTCTGGAGAATGGCTAGGTAGAGCCATATGACTGCTGCCATTCGCTTCTTTTGACACGTGGGGTTCGATGCCTGCAGTGGATTGGAGGATGCACTGCTCAGGCGCGATTTTGCAACGCGGGACAACGCTCCTGTGGGCGCACACAGGTCAATTGAGACGACCTGCTGCGACAAGAAGGAAAGAAACCGCAGTCTTCACATATTCCTGCAACTTTTGTAGTTACTTTATAGCAGAGAGCGGATCAGAGATTTTTTTCTTCTTCTTGTACTCTTTGGAAATGAAGGAAGTATTTACTCCAGATTAAGAAGGCAAACTATTTATTACACTTGCTCGTTTATCTTGTTGAAAAAAAAAAAGTTTTGCGGCTTTTGCATCAAACACCGGGATTTTGACACTCAAACGATGGCTGAGAGCAAGCACCCTCACGTTATTTTCTGCAATGACTCGCCTAAAAGAGTTTTGGTGTCCGTCATCAAGACCACTCCGATTAAACCCAGGAAAGCAGAGGCCATAACTCCGACAAGCCCCGGCTTTAGCGACTTTATGGTCTACCCGTGGAAGTGGGGAGAGAACGCCCACAATGTAACCCTGAGCCCGGGCTCAGGGAGTGGAGCCGCGTCCCCTACCGGGACACAGACGGCCAGGGAAGCGGACACAGCTCCTTCACCTGAGCAGATCAAGGTAAACCCCTTATATAAAAGTTTGTCTTGATACTCTTTAAAAAGTGGCATGGCCGGATGTCGTATGGATGTCTGAGCGCAACCTAAAAGCAGAAAGTATTTTTTAACTATTTTAATACTTTAATATTGTTACTGCAGAGACTGCTGACAACAGTGTAATACGCCTAAAAGAGCATTTGCAACTTAATTCATTGATATGTTGAAGAACCTCCAGAGCAGGTCTGAAAGGATATAGCATGTGTATAACAGGCGCAATAACCCATACATAGTTATCACAGCAGAACAGCACGATCAGAATGAACACCTTTTTCTTGTAAAGTTATATATTCTCTTGAAATGTGATTACTTAAAACAGAGTCGGCCTCAATATGGCGTCATATAGAGTCATTTAAAAAACGCCCGCGCATTAGGGTGTGACTCCGTGGATTTTAAACCCCAGTTCCTGAATCTGGAGCAGCTGCTCCAATATGACGTGTAGTCGCGCGCCAAAAATGTAACCGGATGTGAATTAGCTCACAGTGTAACACGTGAGCTAATTAAATGAAGTCAGACTGGCACGTTGATACATTGTATGAAATGCAATAAATGAGTATTTTATGTGAATTATGTGTTAAGTGTATTAGATTATGAAGCAGTGAAAACAGTTTGTCCTTGGTTTGGCATATTATACCCTGCTTTGTCTCAAAGCTGTTGCACCATAGGTGTTCATTCATCCAGAGTCCTTTGATAAGTCTGATAGGGCCAGAGCAATGATTCTGCGTGTTCTCGCTGTCAGGATGGTATCCGCAGAGGCCGGCCACGGGCGGACACAGTCCGGGAGCTGATAAGCGAGGGGGAGACTTCATCCAGCCGTATCCGTTGTAACATCTGCAACCGAGTGTTTCCCAGAGAGAAGTCTCTCCAGGCCCATAAGAGGACACACACAGGTGAGAGAAGTCTGCTGACCCATTATAAATTGCTTTAATACATGTGCTTTACCTGTCACGGTACAAAACATGAAACCATGTGGTCCCTGTACTGAATTTAAAAGCATTGTCTAGTAATTACTAAAGTATTAAGTAACCACAGTTTTTCCACTAACTAACCCACCCCCTCCTCAATTTCCCAACTTGTGGGATGAATAAAGTATATCTTATCTTGTTCCACCCCAGGTGAGAGGCCTTATCTGTGTGACTACCCAAACTGTGGGAAGGCATTTGTCCAGAGTGGACAGCTGAAGACCCACCAGCGCCTGCACACTGGGGAAAAACCCTTTGTTTGCTCTGAGAAAGGTGGGTGTGAAACGTAGATTTTTTATTTTTATTTTTTAGAAAAGACCATGCAGTTAGCCTTTTAAAATGTATTATCACAAACAGCAAACTGAAAGTTTTCACCTTTAGTGTCTTCAAGGTACTTTCCATTAAGATGAAATGTGGTTTATTTACTATGACTGACTAGAGCCTTAAACTAATACTTGGAAAGTACCTGGGAAATGAAACTGACTGTGTAACAGTCTGCTGTAATTTCATGTACTAACCCTAAAAATCATTACTGTTGCTTTGTGACTTATAAAAAGTCATATTTGAGTAAACATCATTACTCATTAATTTATTAATAGTAATCCATTCTAAGAAGACTGAAGCACTGTTTATAACAGTAGTGAACCACAAATGTTGTGCACTACACATTTTAACTATGTAAAAATGACAAAAACCTCCAGTCATTTTCTGCAGTTATTCAGACTTGATGCTTCCTCTGCAGGATGTGGCAATCGGTTTACACATGCTAACCGACACTGCCCCAAGCATCCTTTCT